GGGTACATGGACCCTTAGGGTAAAATTACCAAAAGCACCCCTAAACCCTAAACCCTAAACCCTATAAGCCCTAAACCTTAAACCCTAAACCAACTTACAGTTACCAAAAGCAACCAAGCATCCTTGGGAAGTTGCTGCAGGAATGCCAAGGCATCACCTTAGCTACCAGGACAAGCACTCGGTTCTCCAGTAACCCCTAAATAAAAAGGGTGGCCTTTTTCCTACTATTTGGTTTTAATAAGGAAACCCCAAACCAAAAAGGGCACAAGGGTACTACTGTGGAACCTAGAGCAATAAAAGGTTCAGGGCGCACTCCTTAGCTCGCTTCGAAGTGGGGTTTAATGTTTCATTAGGGTATAGAGCAATAAGAGGTTCAGGGCGCACTCCTTAGCTCGCCTTGAAGTGGTTTTGTTATTTCATTAGGGTGTAGAAAATTTATTGTCTTAGGCTTGCAGCTCAATTCGGGCTCTGGGGATGCGAACCTTGCAGATAGAGCCTTTGGACCCGAGGGAATAATGCACTTTAGCCATGATGCGCGGGCAGTCAAACTCCACATGAAACACATGAAGTCCGTATACCCTAAACCCTAAACCGTGCATCATGACGTTCAAATATAGCTTGTACTGACTTCCGCCGGTTTGGCCCTTGAGCCCTAACTCAAACTGAGTTCAGCCTCTTGGTTAAGAGTCCTCGACCCGAAACGTTAGCTACTACGCTATTCTCAACACACTATCACTCTAAACACTAAGACCCTACACGGGAGAGTAATCCCCAGTACCCTAAACCTTAAATCCAGATAGCCTCAACCCTAAACCCTTTTTTGGAGCAGGGGCTGCACTGCAGCGCCCCCTAAAGCCTAACCCTAAACCCTACACACTAAGCCCTTAAGCCAAGCTCGGCGCCTGTAGTGAGCTGAAGCCTTGGATCTTCGAAGCTTCGGCCTGCGAAGCCGGGTACCCACTCCAGCGCGAAGCGGGTGACCTCGGGCTGTTAAGAGTTTAGGGATTTAGGGGTGTAGGGTGTAGGGTTTAGGTTAACTTTGCGGTTTCAGGGTGTGTGTGTATATATATATATATATGTATGTATGTATATATATATATATATATGCAAGTATGCAGGCCTGAAAGTACCTAAATGTGTAGGTAGGTAGGTAGGTAGGTAGGTAGGTAGGTAGGTAGGTAGGTCGGTAGGTAGGTAGGTAGGTAGGTAGGTGGGTAGGTAGGTAGGAGGTAGGTGGGTAGGTAGGTAGGTAGGTAGGTAGGTAGGTAGGGAGGGAGGTAGGGAGGGAGGGAGGTAGGTAGGTAGGTAGGCAGGTAGGTCGGTAGGTCGGTAGGTCGGTAGGTCGGTAGGTCGGTAGGTAGGTAGGTAGGCAGGAAGGCAGGAAGGCAGGTAGGAAGGTAGGAAGGTAGGAAGGTAGGAAGGTAGGCAGGTAGGAAGGTAGGAAGGTAGGTAGGTAGGTAGGTAGGTAGGTAGGTAGGTATGGGTGGGTGGGTGGGTGGGTGGGTGGGTGGGTGGGTGGGTAGATATATAGAAGTGCAGATAGACAGGCAAACAGCTGGGTAGATAGACAGATAGAAAGACAATTTGATATACAGATAGATAGATTGATTGAGAGATAGGTTGATCGACAGATAGATAGGTAGATACATAGTTAAGCTTTGTAGGAGTTCTTTGGGAATTACGAATCTAGGATTCAAGGAGTTGCGTTCGTGGTTCTGATTATAGGCATGTAAATTCGGCGTGATTAAATGTATAGTAGCACCCGAACATAGGCTTCGGGTGCTGCAGGCTCAGGACGTAGGACTTTAGGCTCAAAGTGCAGGGCATTTTGGGGTTCGGAGTTAAAGGACAGATTGTACGGTCCGGTCAAGGTGGGGGAGTGTAGAGAGCTTCGAAAGCTGGTGGTGTCGTCTTCAGGATCTTTCTGGCTTCCGGGATTAGTTGTTCAGGGCCTTTGGGCCTTGCATAGAGCTTCAGGTGTTTATGGAATTTAGGCTCTCTCTGGCTAGACTGTACAGCTGCGAGTGTAAAACAATCAACCTACACCGGGGCTGGCTTGAAGAGAAGGTTTATGGGGGTTAGGGTTTGCGGTCTAGGGTTTACGGGTTTGGGGGTTTTAGGGGTTCGGGTTTGG